TTTTGTTCTTCATGGAGAAGATCAGTGATTTACTCATTCAAGGTATTAATTTAAATACTTACTATGGGGTAGGCACTATTCTGGAGTTAGAACTATAGAAATGAGTGAACAAAAAAGTCGTTTCCCTTATAAAACTTAAATTCTAAGGGAATTAAACAGACGATTAGCAAGTAATTAAATGATATTTATTATCTTATATATGGTGACAAATACTATTGAGAAAATAAAGCACAATAGGGGAGATTGTAGTTTTAAAGAGGGTGACTGTGTGAGGACTCATGAAGAAAGTACTATTTAGGCAAATGTTGGAAGAAGATGAGGAAGTAAACCATGCAGATGTCTTGGGGAAAAGGATGTTTGAACAACATGTTCAGTGAACAAGGTCAGTATGGCTGGGGCAGAGTGAGCTTGAGAGAGTGGAAGGAGGTTAAGTCAGAGGGGTACTTCAGATGGGGATGGGAAGGCCCGTGTTGGTCCCCAAGGACTATTTTGTGACTATTCCACTGAGTTTTGAGGCATCTCTGGAGGGTTTTGAATGGGCAGTTCTTTCCTGACACTACAATTTCTAAGAAACATGTCATCATGCTTAAGCGTCTACATACAGGATTCCCTCCTCTTCCCTAGGAATCAGGTATCATTACCAAGTGGTGCAGGTTGTAAGTGATTTTTTTTTTTTTGGAGCGCCAATTCACTAATGATGAGTGATTCCATAGCATCATGTGGATAAATGTGAAGCATTCACATCATTTTATAAAGACAGTATGGTAGATATTGTTAGACTCAGGACACCTAGTTCTTGTGAAGATAAACTGCCAGTGGTCTGACTAGAGCACTCTGGGAGTGTATGTTTCCTTGCCTGTCCCATTAGTGGTGTTCTCTTATGACAATATTGTGTAGCATTGGTGCAGTATAACAGAATGGATGCTATAGTAAAAGTGGGAAGACCTGGGTTTGACTATTGCATCAACTCCTTAATAGCTATATAATTTTTTATTTTGTTGTTCTTATCTGAAAGTGGACAAAATAATGTACATTCAATAGCTATTGAATGCCTGCTGTCTGCCAGACTGTCTCACATACTAGAAATACAGACTCAGCCCAGCCCTGAAGGTTCTCACAATATAAAGAAGTCAAATAAACAATTTCAACTGTGTTTGTCTGAGATGTTTAGGAAGGTCAAATGAAAACAATTCTTGGAATGCTTGTTGCATGTCTATACCCAGTAGGTCTGTACTAAATGTAAGTTATATCTCCATAACCCTTTATTGTGGGAGCAGATAGTGGGAGATTCAACCCAGGGCTTTGAGTGAGGCCAGGTTTCAACCACTGAGCAATACTGCCAGCCCCATTATCCCTTTCATTCTTGAGATTTCTCAGTTAATATGTTTTCCCGAGATGTCTAAATAACTATTTTCATTCAGTTGATGTTATGTAACATCAATCATATTAGAATAATCCTTTAGCTCAGTTTCTTAAAACTGAAATAGAAAAATTGGGAGAAGTTGTGATCTGCGGTGATGTGTAAAGCCATGTATTTGTTTTATATGGTGGCTGGTGTTCATTCATACTCATTACATTGCCTTTGACTGAAGAAAGGGCATTTAAGTGTCTTTAATTGAATAGAGCCTCATGGCAGTACTCAGATGATATTTATTTTAGCAAAAAGGAACTAGATAGTGAAATAATGATATCATTAATAATTTACTTGTTAATATTGATAGTCTTAAATCTACTCCCTTTTTTAGAAACTTCTGAATAAATTCTGTCTTCTCAAATATCCTGCTTTGCATTTGCAGTACATGAGAGTAATGTTATTTTGAAGTCAGTGTTACGCAGGTAAAATATCATTACAAACTACAGTTTTATGAGAGTTGAAAAATTCCAACTCAGAGAAAAGGTATTGCAGGTCAATCTTTAAAGTTCAATGGATACTAAATATAAAGAGAATGTAATTATTTTCATCTTAACTGATTTTATTACAAAGCTGTTGACTTTTAAAAACATTTTAAACCATAATATTATGTTCTTACTACAAATTTATAATTGTCTTTGCTTATAATTAATTGGCTTTCCTTTTCAATTTAGCAAAATGGAATGTTTTCAATCTTCATAATATTTGTTAGTAATACATTATTTGATTGTTATTGACTCTATAATTTCATTTAAAATTTTAATATTATTTTACTATGATAAATTCTTGATTCTTATTGCTTTGATAGAAGATGGATATTGGAATTTTCATTATTTAATATTAAGACATAGCTATAGTTAGAATTCTCAAATAATTCATCGGGCAAATATTTGTACACAGATAAATTGAGAATTATTCATTCCTCCTTTTGAAGTGACAAGTGCCAAGGATTATATATGGACAGGAAGGTTTTTCGCTTTACTTGTTAGCTTCTTCCTGGATACTACACAGGGGCCCATAAACTCTATTTGTTTTCTGTCCTGTTCTCTTCAAAATAGTATTTTTTGCTAAAAATTTCAGGCAGTTTTCTTTTACTGTGCTTTTGTTTACTTTTTCTTAGCATCTCCTTCTTCTTGCCTTATTGACTCATTTTTGACATTAGCATTTGACTATGTTCCCCTGCCCCCCAACTTTGGCATTTTGATTCGGGAAACAAACTTTCATGCATTTACCTGTCTACATGCATTTTTTTTCTTCCCATCAGTGATAAAGAATTCAGATTTTTGCACTGTCTATCTTATTAATTTTATATTTCAGTGAACTCTCTTTGATACTCCTGAATATTTTTTAGAATTAGGGTTAGTGGACTTTCCATATTTGTGAGAACCTTAGTTCTTAGGATGATTCTAAAATCATCTTTAACTGGGACATTGGTATAGGATGTAAGGTGGAAACAATGATGTGGAATGTCACACAATATCTCATGAATTGGCAATAAGGATGGCAAGGTATGTAATGGCACTATTATTTTGCTTTTGGTAAGTTTATATCAGCATTTTCTGTTATGAACCCCAGTTTCTACATATAACTAGATCTGCATTGTAACATTTGCCATAACATTTTTGGAAAGAAATCCCTAAAATGCTCACTGTATTTTGGCAGCTTTGAAAAGTAAATATGAAAAGTAGCTTTAGTGAGTTAAAATTGCCATTTTATTTTTATTAATAAATCACTTTAAGTAATAGCAGAATATGTCCCAATTTTCAGTCCTATTTTTGTTGGGGATGAGTGTCAAATTGACTTTTCATAATACAGCAAATAGTAGGTAGCATCAGCCATATCTTCTCCCATGATATTATTAACAACATGTCTTCTCAAATAGGACAGTTAAAATATTTCCATATATTAAAACAATATACACTAGGGTCTGTTTGGCCAAAATCACAACTTTGTTATTGGATTAAAGAGCATTCAATTTGGAATCAGAAAACCTGAGTCTTAGTTTTGGTTGTGACATCAACTCAGTATGACTTTGCATAGGTCACTTAGTTCTCTTAACTGTTTCCTTGCTTTGGAATGAGGAGATGAACTAGGTGGTCACTAAGATTCAGCACAAGTCTAAAATTCCATGATTATGTTTTTGTTCATAATGTATTTTAGTTAATTATTGGAATATATTTTTTATTAGTTGCTCAAGGCAATACAATCATCTTGACATATCATACATCTGATTTAAATGGGGTATGAATATTGATAAGCTTTCCCAAGGTAGTGCCTGTTAAAACCGGAAGTTTAAGCCTTTCCTATTAAGCTTGAACCACTTCCCCATGCTCTGGTGTGGGATGATTGTCCTATGTGTAGGTGATGATCTGCTCTTACTTAGACTGTGAGATATTTAGCATGTTTTAAGCCAGAGTATAATCTGACATATATGAATGGTTTTATGAGGGTGGAAGACCTTACCCATTAGTAGAGCAAATGAATGTCTTCCTTTTTCACCTAAATTGTACTATGAATCATCCCTTGCCTTTCAATCCTGCTTTCTAGCCTGATTCTGCTTTGTCAGATTTATTTGAGATCAGGGTGATCCTGGTGACAATCATTACTGGTATAGACATTTCACAACATTCAGAAACTTCAAGCACCATGATATATATTGTTTCTATGTAAATTTGCTTTTTAAAGTATAGAAGCTACATGCCAGTACTAAATAAAATGTCAAGTTATAATGATCTGCTTTTGGACTTGAGATGTATTTTGGACTCCCCTGTCCATATGTGTCACTTACAGTCCTTGTGAACACAGTGTGCACACGTTTCAAGTGGGCATGTAACTGCCTACCTGCACACTCACCAACACTTATGTGGTAGCTGACTTTGGACTCCCCACTTTAACTGGGAGCACTCTTTTTCTCAGTTGTTTCCTGCAGTTCAGTTGTGGAAGCTTTGCCTTTATACACAACATAGAGTGGCTGCTGTGGACAACAATGAGCTTTTAAACAGGAGAATGAGAGTAATGTTTATTGGAATAAAAATTAGGCTTGAAATTCCTTGAGGGAAGGAACCAAATCTAATGTTTTCTTGTTCACTGACATTTTTTATATTGATGCTGTTCTGGATCTTTTAGAGAAGGGAGGGAAAAAAATCAGCAAATGAGCTCTTTGAATCAGAAATGGAATTTAGAAGGCTGTTTTAGCAAGGCTTTTTGACAATCCTTGATTTATTCTGTTCGTACTGTGATGAGAAGAGTAGCCTCACACATTTTGTGAAAAATCTTAGAGATGGAGGATGTTTTTAAGGGGGAAACAGAGAGCAGTTGTTTAAATAATCTTGGGCCAATAGCATTTGGTAGGTGGAGTTACTGTTGTATGCATTACAGAGCAAGATAATTCTGAATGAAGACTTTAAACATTTCACATGCTGGACGGGATTCTAGTTCTGTTCTTTGTGCAAATAAGTGACTAGGTGACTAACTGGGATTTGCTTACTATCGGGTAGTGGATGCAGCTCATTTGATAAGATTTAAAAAAAATACATGTAAAGGATTTATCAGGAGCCCTTATGAATATTTCATGAGTTGATATATTCAGCTGAATGAATTCAGTGAGTGTCAGTGTGTAGCTTGCAGACAAACCTCATCCACAAGGAGGCTACTGACATAGGAAGCACTTTGGCGCATTTTCAGAGGCAAAGCCAGCCTGATAAAGCTCCTTGTGACAGCCTGACTTGCCATTCTTCGAGTATGCTGCTCTTGCTCTGAGCAGCTCCAACCTTGGAGCCACAGCTTCCCAAATTAAAGAGTTTGCAGACTTATCAGCCTTTTAACCTACAGCAGTGTCTCTGCTATGTTTGAGGGGTTTGCTTTGGATGGTGAAAGCTAGCACTCCATACAAGACATGACAGCAAAAAATTCTTCAAAGGAACTTACTGCTTCTGAGTCTGAGGTTTGCATTAAGACTTTCAAGGAGCAAATGCACTTAGAACTTGAGCTTCCAAGACTACCGGGAAACAGACCTACATCTCCCAAAATTTCTCCACGCAGTTCGCCAAGGAACTCACCATGCTTTTTCAGAAAGTTGCTGGTGAATAAAAGCATCCGGCAGCGTCGTCGCTTCACCGTGGCTCATACATGGTAAGACGGGACACAGAGGTATCTCTAGTGCATTTCATATTCATTAGCAGCCGTGGTTTAGAAATGTTGAAAATGGGAACGTTTTGAGTTTTGTTCCAAATAGCACAAGTGTGAAATGAATGGGGAGACCGGGTCAGCTGAAGAAATCATAAATGCACTGTGTGCTAAATTGTCATGGTGCTACCTGCTGTTTCCAAATAAAATGTGTCTCTAACTGTAGTGATTCCTTAAAATTGCTGCTTATAAAAATATGTAGCTAGTTCTAGAGTCATGCAGTAATAAAGGAGTTTTTAGAAGTGAGATTTTTGTTTAGACTCTGTTAAAGTGATAGGTGACTTTTTTTGTTTGTTCTGTGGTTATTGATGATTTTGTAATAGTATATTTTGGGTACTAGAATGAATATTTTCATATTAGTTCTAATTTATTTATTAAAATGATACATAAAGTCCAACTTAAGCTACAATATTCCCATATTTTATAGTGTACAAGCCCCTGGGTTTTTGATTTATTGACTTTTATCTTTGCACTACTTAAGGAAAGGAAAACTAAGTTACTACTTCTGAATTGCACAGTTAATTACTTTTATTTATGATTCCAAATTGCTGCTATCTTTAAGAACCTGTTGTTTTAGAAAGTAACTTAAAATTTACAGATGTTTTGAAAATGCCAAGTAAATAAATTCAGGAACCCTCTGTAAATATTGCACCCAGCCTGCCACCTTGAATATATGTGCTACAAGAAATGTAAATACAGTAGAATGACTTCCTTAAACCAGCCTGATAATGTCATGTAAGGAAAAGCACAGTGAAATTAAATAACCTGGACTTGTAAAATCAAGGCCATTTCAGATTTCTTTGAAGGATATATTTTCTTTCAGATCAAGGTACCCTTCAAAACTAATTATGTGTCCTTCAGTTTTATTTAATAGGGACCATAGCAATAAAGGGAGCTGGTGCCTCTTAAAGGCAATTCTAACACATTGATTTTGTGTCTGCATACTAGATTGCCAATCAGCATCACAAACTGAGGATATCTGATTTTCAAAAATTAATATTCACTTGAATTGTTTTCTACTCATCTGAAATGTTTATCTGCCTAATCTACTGCATAGCACATTGGCAAATTAAAGTTACCCATAGAAAGATGTAGCTTGCTTTTGATGAACACCACATGGTTAGCCAATGTGTACTTTACTTGGCTAAATATGATATGGTTATTCTTGTTTTCTGACTGTGGACTGTTATGTATCTATTTGCTTTTTTGGAGAGTTTTTTAAACATCTCCTTGATGAATTAAATCTTAATATTTTAGAACATGTGATTAGTTTTTCAAAACCTACCAATGGTGATAGCATTTGTAGAAAGAGAAGGTTTATAATACAAATATGTACTGATTCAAAGAAATCCTTTTTCTCATACTTTACCCCTAACAAGATGTGTATTTTCTAGTAGTTTGTTAAGTAGTATAACTGAATAGGGTAAGATAAATAGATGTATTCATAATTAGTTCTCATGAAAGAAACACATATAGAAAATATGTAATTGATTAATATGTGCATATCCTTACTACTCAAATGAATATTTAACCCTTAAGTGATGGTAAATCTTTTTAAAACTGTGGTAATATTTTCCTTAAGATAGTTTCAATTCTTGAGTATAATAATGTGACCTTTCTTTTTCTTAGAATAGATTTTTTTTTTGATGTGCTAGGAACAGAGAGCTATAAATACTGGTGTTTCTTTTCTTTTCAAAATAACCCAAATTTTAGAATGATTAAAGAGCCAGTTTTACTCATGCATTATACAAATTTTCTTGCTGCGAGTTGCAAAAAGAACAATTTAATGATATCTTGAGGTAACTTATGCTAATAAAATGATCCTCTTTTAGGTGAGTTAAAACAAAATTTTCCACAATTGCCAAAAAAGAAAGCACATAACTTTGGTATAGTGAACCATAATATAGGCTTGAAGAATTCATTAATCATCGAACTTATAAAATAACTTCAGTTATGACTATGATTCATTTTCATCCTTTTTCCCCCTCACAACCATACACTCCCCTTCTTATGTTTCTTAGTGAAGCTCTATCACAGTTTGCTTCCAGCTCCTGATTAAGTCATCCTTTATATTTATTTCTATTGTTTTATATCTGACTAAGTGCTTAACAGTTTTCAAATTAATTTTCATAAAGCAAGCAATAAAAATCTCTTTTTGGAAAAATAGACATATATCTTATCTATTTGAATGATTTCTTTCCAAATATTAAAAGTTATGTGCTGCTTTTTTTGCATATCATATGAAATAGTTACACAAGGAAATAAAAGCATAAGTACTTTATGTTTTTGGCCTCTTTGTCATGAAGAAGTGTAACCAGCCTTTTATGATCAATGATTGGTATTTTCCAAACCATCCATTTAAGTTAGAAATTCCAAGATATGCACTTAGAAGTCTCTAAAAACATGTTATTACTTTACAGTAGACAGTAGGCTTCTTTTAAGGGAATTGGATTGTTTTGATTCCAGCATCAAAATTAAAGTAATTTTCATGATGAAGCTAAACAATGCAGAGGATGCAGTTTATATCTTAACCCACTAGACAGTTTTTAAAAATCTTGATTTATTTGTAGATTTCATATTTTGGTTAGATGAATGTGTAGTCCTGGTTTGAGAACCCAAGTTATGAAGTATGGACTAATGGCGGCAGATGTGGGAAACATTTGTGAAATTCTAACTCTGCAATTATTTTTAAAATATCTGAAGAAACATAGATATTCAATGTATTGTTAAAATCAGAATATTTATACAATCCCAAATCTGGAAGGGATTTGGGTGATTATCTCACAGCTTCCTTTTACCCTTAGATAGAGCCACAATTACTCCATCTTTGACATAGGGAAATCTGCTCTACTTTTAGGATGGGAGAGAAAACATTTCTGCATCCTTCCTTAGTACATATACACTTTTACTATTTCATAGTCTAGATATTGGAAAATCCTCCCTCATGTTAACCTATATAATTTTTATGTAATATATAATCTAGTTCCACTCCCTTCAGTAGATATTTAAAAAAGATTTGTAAGAACCTGCATGAGTCTGAAACTCATTATCAACTGGTCCCAGAATTTTCTTTTTTATTCACTTAACTTATAGAATTGAGCCTTGCTATGAACATGAAGAGCAAAAATTCTGATTTGGGCCAATTGTATTCCAACATCTAGTATATTTTAAGTTTTTCACCAAAATGTTTGTGTTATCTCATTTAAGTTTTATATTTTAAATTTGTTTCTTCCAGTATTACATGTTGCAGATATGAAAGGTATTCTGAATTACTTTAGCTTCTTCTAAGTATTTCTGTTCCATTAGTCATTATTTTGACTCTGAACACCACCCAGATTTCTAAATTCTTCTTTGAAATCCCCAAAGTGGATGCTACATTCATTGTTCCAGGATGTGACAATATATAAATAAAAAACATGTCGTACACTACAAAGTGTTAATGGAATGTTCTGCATTGCTAAATAGGGAGTCAGGAGATTATTGACGGAATTCTCAGGTCAGAATATTATTTATCCCTAACCCCACATCAAAGGTGACAACTTCCAAGCCATTCTACCTGGGCTGTACGGCCAGCTGCTTCGCCTTGCACTGTTGGACACAGTGTCCAACTCTTTCAAACTTCCCTCCTTTAATCATGTCCCAACCTCAGTCATCACTTCTCCATGAGATAAGCTGCTGGTGATGATCTTGAATCCATCCTAGCCCCACTGCACACCTGCCCACAGTGTGCTTGAAGGGCAAATATATGGATGAGTACCATCCTCTGTCTGTCCATGCTTACATACAGGGAGTAGCTGGCGATAGTTGGCAGTGACTGAGAGAAAAAGCTTGTATTCTTTTTCCTTTCCCTCATTTAGTTCTCCTACATCTTGAAAATCTTTTCTTGTTTTAACAAAGGTTCATGAAATGTGCTTTTGCACCTAATATTTGAATGTAAAAGTATTTTAGCTTATATCCTAAAGTTTAAGGCTATATTTATACTATAAAGGAACTTATATGTGGCATGACGAAGTTGGAGTAATTGGAGGAGAATAAAAAGAAAACATATTGACTGAATATTGATTGAAGATAAACATTGGTTGAGAGCACACTATGCTCTAGGCCTTGTTCTGGGCTTAGAAGATACAAAAAGAGAAGAAGCTTTTGCCTTCAAGGAGTTCATATACCAGCGACAAGACACATATGCATTAATAACTAATCAATGAAGTGTGAATAATGCTATTGAAGTATAATGTTCAACCTATCATTAAGCACAGAAGAAATGACTATCATTAGAAAATGAGTCAATATGTTAGGGAAGGTGAAGACAAAAGATGCCATTTATGTGGGCTCTCGAAGAATGAATAGAAGTTTTCCAAGAGAAGAGTGGGCAGGAACGGCTTTTTTTCCTCCCCTGGTTGGAGGGAGTGCAAGGAAATAAATTACAAATGCTCTCATTTATTCAGCACTTATAAAGTGTTTGACATTGTTCTAAATGTATTTACCCATTTAATACCAATGGCAAGCCCATGTATTATGTACTACAAGTTAAGTATCCTTTATCTGAAATGTTTGGAACCAAACATTGGATTTTTTTTTTGGATTTTGGAATATTTGCATACACATAATGAACTATCTCAGGGATAGACCCAAGTCTAAACACAGAATTCACTTCTGTTTCATATACATCTTACATGCATAGCCTGAAGATAATTTTATACAATATTTTAAATAATTTTATACATGAAACAAAATTTCACGGTGTGAGATTTTCTGCTTGTGTGAGGTATCATATTGGTGTCCCCAAAGTTTCAGAATTTGGAGCATTCTGGATTTTGGAATTTTGGATTAGAGAGACTGAACCTGTATTATTATTTCTGTTTTATAGGCAAAGGAATGAACCTTAGAGAATATAAGTAATTTGCTCAAGGTTACAGAAAATGTAAGTGGCTAGACTGAGATTATAC